CCACAGCTCTGCCAGAAGGAAGGACAGAGAGTACTAACTACAGCCAGTCGCATGAATGCAGCATCTGAGCAAAGGCATCACAGAGTGAGAAGTGACATTTTGATTGATTCTTCACTCTGGTCAAAGCAGAATAACACTGGCAATTTCAGACACTTTTGCCATGCCTCTACTGTCCTTTGCTGTCTCAGTGTTAAAAGTGAATACATTCATTATCATCCACATGGAATTCTGTTCATCAAAAGCAAGCGCCTGATTCAAATTCAAGCTCTTGGGAACCCAACTCCTAGAAATTCACAGTTCATTTTCCACAATCTGTCTTACAAGCAGATACAGAAAGAGCAGTGCTTGCTTGATTTAGCAAACCAGAGGTTGAAAGGGAATACGAGCACTGCCTGTAAAATAATTCCAGGGAGGTGTAAGTGCCAAGTAGGGAAAACAACTTTAATTAAAAGGCATATAGACAAACCAATAAATAAATAGATAAATAGATAAATAAATTTCCCAATGGCAATATTAGATCAGAAATCAGACAGAAGCTTCCAAAAAGCGTAAGAAACAACTATCCTGAATAGAGGAGAGCAATAGGAAGGAAGGAAACTCCATTTTTTTTATGATGCTTTTTGATGAGTTTCAGGTAGCATATAGCACCCGCTACAGCCTCAAACCTCTCCTTAAGTTCTTAATGTATAAAATAGGTTTGAACTCTCCAAATGAAAACCTAACCACAGATTATCCACTATTATTTTACGTAGGAAGAAATAAAGCGCATTTGAAATATATAGGTATATTGTTATTCTGTCTTATCTGAGCTCAGATTGTGTTATCAGCAGCATCAAATAAAAACATGCAAGTAATACCTAATGAAGAGTCTCAGCTTGTTTAAAAGCTCTCCTATAAGAGTCTTATCTCTTCCCTTGTTGTCTAGTGTAGCCACACGACAACAGCGATGATGACCTTGCAGGCTTCATACTGCACTGGACCCATCAGTCATATTGATTTTCTACTGTGGATGAAATATAAAAAATTATCTGGCCAGGTTACTTTGCATCTGGTCCAGATTTCATCTCCATCATTCTGCTGAGGATCTTCAGCTTGGAAGACTCAAGAGAAGCTCAGCTAAATCCCTTCAGCAACATAAATCACAGAAGTTTGGACCAGATATCCCAGGCTACAGAAGATGTAAGTGCTGGGTGACCATGTAAAAGTCAATCCATGAGCTGGGCACCTGTTCATATTCTTTGCCAAACAGTTTGAGATCTACACCAGCGTCCAGCCCAGGACATCAGACTCTGCCCAGAGCAAGGCAACAGTGGGTTGCCTTATAAATAGACTGAAAAACCTAGGCAGCCTTGGTTTCTCAAAAACTGTAAGCATCTCTATCCCAAATATTCATACTGGATATTTCCTTGAGAGTTGCTTCTCTCCATTAAAATCAGATCTCATCTCTCTATGCACAAATCTCTGCTGCCTGTTTTCTCCTACTCTGTAGCATAGCATTGAGGGAGCTATGGGGAATTCAAATCTACAGTGTTTGCATATACCACATCAGGAAGCATGTCTGATACTTCTGCAGGCTAGGAAACCTGCCAATTTCCACACTGTTGTTGAAATTCCCCAGAGGTGCAAAATAGCCAGGAGATCTCACTTGTATGTCTTGTAGCCAGGGTTTAAGGAAGAGATTTAGCTGAGAGGATCTAATACTTCAACTTTCATGGAGGCCAGTAGAAAGACTCCACATATATCAGTGCAAAGAAACAAAGCAATGGTGCAAACATGGGCCAGTTAACACCTTCTTGGATCATTCCCAGACAGTCTGGGACTTGGTATAAGCCAGAGACCATTTCCAGCACCCAATTTAGCTGCAGCCACTCCTCTCTGTGTTGCAGACAGAAAGAGCTCTGGATTGTGTAGATGCCAGACCATGCCAGATGGCCTGCGTGGCCTCGCACACCTCCACAGCAGTCAGAGAGAGCCTCAGGACCATCTGCATTTTCACGCAACACTGGATACACTCCTGGTTTCATCCTCATCAGTCATCTGACAATCCAGCTTCCCTATGCCTGTGCTCTTCTCTGTAGAGCATGGACTGACACTACTGGGGGGAAGCCACAATAAGCAGGACGTATGTAAAGCACATCCCTGTAGATGTGACCTGGGTTCTTGCCACAGGTCTGTGTGGATATGGCTGTGTGGACATATACTTTCCCCACAAGGCTGCACAGCTGATCCTGTTGCTGCTGTCAAGTGTAATATGGATTCTGTGCTGCAGGGTAAGCTGTCTGAGGAGTACCCAGAATCATTGATGGGCCCCACAGGATCCCCCTTGTAAGACTGTTTATGTTGGTGTACTTATATCTGAATGACTGATACCACTACTTATTACTCTTGTTGTGCCTGTGGCTAAGCACAACCCAGCATCTGAACAGAACAATACACACACACAATGTGAAATCATTGCCCAGACACAGAGAATCTGCAAACACTGTTCCTTACAGCTACCAGGAGTCCTCCCAGAGGTCCCTTCCCCTCCATCAGAAGCATTGCAATCGTACCACTACCAAAATAAGGATACATGGAAACAGAGGTTGGCAGAATCAGGTACATTACAATTAAAACAAACCTTAATGATGACAGTGCTTTTATTTTACAGCTTTCCCATCTAAAGGGAGGTCAGATTTTTAGGGTTTTGTTTTGGCTTTTTCCTTTACTTACACAGATGCTACAAACTATGACCATCTCCATAGCCTCCCTCTGCCTGGGCAAAAGGCACAAGCTGTTTAACAGCAGCGCTCACGGAGCATATCAGAATGAAAATGAGAGGAGGTGTGTTGCATCCACCTGGCACAGTGGGAAAACAGGGAGAAATCTGGCAGCCACTGCTGCTGGAGTGACGCCAGGACACCAGGGTCACACAGCACCGTGCACACAGCACCATGGGATCCCCTGCCACTCTGTGCAGGCAGGGTTACACACACTGCACACTCTGGGAATCACTTCATCCTAATCCCCTCCCAATCCCAGCTCCTTCACAGCTGAGTGTCCAAAAGCTCTGTGCAGAGCCTTTGGGTCAGTGCCGTGTTGAGCTCCTACTGAACCAACACCACTGCTTCAAATGAGCCTGGATGAGCTTGCTGGTGCATCCAGCTCCTGAGAAGCCCAGCTTCATTTAGCATTGTGAAGGATGTTACCACAGCATGAATAGCACAGTATTGTCAGAGTACACAGCAGCAAGGTGGGAGCATGATCTCCCCAACACAACACCACTCAAGGCAATTTGGGCAGGACAGCAGCAAAACATTTCCCCACAGCTCCCTGCAAGCAGTTTTACAGAGACACTCAGCAGGTAAATCAGACCAAAGCATTAACAGTCCATACTACCACAGAGGGCAGAAAGAACTATACATATGTATATGTCTAAGACAGTACAATAAAAACTGCTACTTTTAATACTAATGTATTGATCTATATAGAGATGAAACATCTTTGTGTGAAAAGAAGAGGAAAACTGATGCTTGCTGGGTGACTTTTTATATCAGAAGCTTTTTCTTAGCAAATAGCTCTCTTCAAACCAGTGTCAGACTCAATTCAATCAGTATGAAAAGACTGGAGTTCCTCCCCAGCAACTTCTGTTACCACGACTATGTGAGAGAGGCTAGCTGAGTTGGGAAGAAAAGGGAAGGTCCTTCAAAATGGAGATGACAGGTATCCCCCTGTCAATTAATTAATTAAAAAAGGAAAAAAAATGCTGATGAGCCAATAATACCTTGTCTCAATTAACTAGATCGGAACCCCACAGCATGGGGCTTACAACATTCATGTTAATTCTAAATGGAGTGCCTGGGATATATTTTAATAGTATCCATACCAAAGGAGTTCATAATGATCTGACCCTAATTTCAAAACATCACCAGGTTCCTTATGCTTAAAGCTGAGAAGGAGGCCAAGGATTTGTACCAAGCAGACAAAAATCTGGCTGAGAGCAGAGGAGCCCAAGTTGCCCTTTACCCCATGAGTTGTATGGGCAAACACCAAATCACGCTGGTATCCCTTTGTCTCCTGTTAGCATTCTGCTCACTGGGGCACTCAGACCCTCACTCCTGTTAGCCCCAGAGCAGAGCTACCAGCAGGCTCCTGGCTCGGGGCTACCTCTGCAGCACAGGCTGGAGGGATACGAGTTAACTTGACAACTTTGATGCCACAACTATTACTCTAGACTGGAAACCTGTCACCTATCTCTCTGGCTGATTTCATTCTACTTGGCTCCTGTCAGAGCCATTCTGTTGCTATTCATGAGAAAAGTCCAGGTTATGGGGAAGAGATCAGAGCTGTCTCATTTTAACACCTTCATGACAAGAGGCAAGAAAGTACCTTTGTACCCTGCACAGAGGCACCTCAGAGACAACATCCCATGGGGCTAAACCCTGGGCTGACGTGGGTCCCAGCAATGGAGGAGCAGTAGCAGTAGCCCTGGAGCTTTCCCAGGCCTTGCTCACAGCTCAGCATCCCCTGCTGCCGGCGGGGTTACCCTGGGGCAGCCAGAGTGTGGGGGACGGGACCTCTCGGACCGTCCCCTCCCCGCCCCTCCCCGCCGCGGGTGGTGGTCGTTCCCCCTCTCTGCCTGCAGGGTGATGGAGAAGGAGTTGGAATGGGCTGTGCTCAGCGGGCGGGCGGCGGAAAGTTTTTTTTTGCTCCAGAAGAATGGTCTTTTAGAGGCACTTCTGCCCCACTGCACACTGCTAAGCGAAGCCAATCCGCGGCTCCCGGGAACGAAATCCCCACTCGAAGAAGGAAAAAAAAAAAAAAAAACAACCCGCATTTCTCTCCCACCCCACCCCCAAGGAAAAGAAAAAAAGAAAAAAAGAAAAAAGAAAAAAAGAAAGAAAAAAGGAGGAAGGAAAACCAGGGAAAAAAGAAAAAAAAAAAAAAAAAAAAAAAAAGGAAACGAAAAATGCAAACCCGCCGCCCCCACCCCGCCGAGCCCCCACGACGGCCGTACTCACGCTGCTGTTTTGGCCCGACCAGTGAACCATGGCTTGGTTGTGCGCCGAGTCGCCGGTGAGGGCGAAGGTGGTGCTGCCCAGCCGCAGCTCCTCCAGCCCGAAGCGGGCGGCGCCGGAGCCCCCCGGCTCCCGCCCCGCGGCACCGCCCGGCCCCGCCGTGCCCCGAGGGCTGCGGCCCCGCCGCCGCCGGGTCGAGTTCCGCCGGCCACCCCAGTGACCCCGCTGAAGGTACTCCCCGGTAGGAGCTGCCGCTGCTTCGGGCCGGCCGTCCCCGAGCTCTTTCTCCGGGTCGCTCGCCCAGCTGCGGGTCTCCCAGCCGCTGAATTTGGTCCCCTCCACAGCAGGGTCGAAGGGTGCTTGAAGCTCGGCATCTTCCGTATCCATCCCGGCCCCTTGCCCTCTCTCACCTCCCTGCTCCCCCGGGATCCTCCACTGTTCTTCTTCTCCCCTGTCGGTCTTCAAATGCATCGGTAATCCCTGCTGCGGATGCTGCTGCTGCGGCTTCACCTGGGAATGGCAGGATCTGCAAGTTATTTCTGCGCCGGTAAAGCCAAAAGTGAAGAGGAAAAGCCATGTCCAGTACAGGAGAGCAACGTGCCAGGCTGGGTACCAGCCAGCAACTTTTTCCATCGCTGCTGACTGCTGATGAGTGAGAGGGAGAAAGCAGGAAGGAGCGAGCGGGGTGCTGCCGATCTACCCACCGCGGGGAAAACACTGCGAGAACTCCATAAAGTTTCAGGCTGCTGTATTTGATGCAGCTGAGGAGAGGGAGAGTGCTTTCTCTCTCCTTTTGTTTTTTTTTTTTTTTTTTTTTTTTTCTTCCTTATTTTCTTTTCCTTCTTTTGCACTTTTTTCCTTTTATTTTCTGTCGTTTTTTTTTTTTTTTTTTTCCTCCTTTTTTTTTTTTCTTTTTCCCCACCCCACCCCCCCTAAAACTGGCGTTCCTGATCGGGCTTTTGATGGAAGGGAAAGCCACAACCACACGGGGGAGGAGCTGAATTGAAGTCAGAGAGAGAGAGGAGCAAATCCCGGCTGTGCCTTCTCCCGGCTGTTCTCTGGAAGCTGCCGCTCGCTCTCTCCCTGCTCCCCTCCTGCACCGCTCCTCCCGCAGCCCCGCCAGGACCCCCGCGTGTGCCGGGAGCGATTGGTTCCCGCCTCCCCCCTCTCACACACACTCGCTCCGAGAGGACTTATTCCAACTTTTGCACTCGCACACAGCTGATCCCTTCCTCTCCCGCGCTTCCCAGCAGCTGAAACCTCTAAAACCTTCTAATGTATTAAACAACACTGCTCAGGAGCTGGAAGCAAATGTGAAAAGTGAAGGAGCAGTTCATACATGTGTGCATATAGTTCTTCTAGGGGAAATATTTTAATTTGCATAATGGAGCGGTCCCAAATGTCTGAGCAGGCTCTGAGATGGTCTCTTTTTCCCTTTCTCAGTGACTGATGTAAGTGCACTGGAGGTGCTGGGCATAGCCCCCGTGCTTGATTTCACAGCACAGGAGTGGGTGGAAGTTATATTTCAACCTCTCCATTCCCTCCTCTGCCTTTGCTTCACTGTGTCATCACTTAAAGCAGCTGCTGATGTTCGGATAAATCACAAGGCACAGCCAAGATGTGCTCACATAAGTGCTGATGGGGACAGGGACACGCTCTGGGAAATAAAATGACAGCAAGAGGAGAAGAGAAGACTTCCCCCCATGTGGTTTAGAGTAGAGAAAACCTTTCTGCTCTAGCTGCTCATGAAAGATCAGGAGTTCCTCCCTCAAGAGCTGTGCTCTCTCTATCACTAGATCTCTTTTCCAGAGTGTTGTCATATGTGGTGGCCAAAGCAGATCACCACACCCTGAAGTGCCAGTGTGTGGGAGCTGCTGAGCAATTGCCACAGGCTGAGCCATGGGACCAGGCCTGAGCTTTTATGGATGAATGCAAGCAGTGATGCTCTTAAAGACTGGAGAGAAATAAAGGCTCTTCCACCAGAATTCTAGTCAGTCCCAATTTGCCTGCTCTCACTCATTCCCATTTGATTTTCAGAAGAGTTTACTTCTTAATTAACGTTTTTAATGTTTCCTTCCTGACGTGGAAGACTTTATTGTATTTTTTTGGCAGGGCATTTCAGAAGGAGATTTACAGATTTGTTCCACAATTTCACTCAGATGCTCACTGGTGACACGTCTTGGGATATTAGCACAAGATGACAAAGGGAGACTTAGAGTAATTGAGGTTGAGCAAAACTTCATGCTGCTTACAATAATGATGGATTGTCTGCATTATAACCATCAGACCTCAGCCAAATATACTGTAAACCAATTAGTGGCATACCTGTTTCCATATCTCCCAATTAAACATGCTGTTACTGCCTGACCATAATAATAATTAACACTTTGGTACTTAACAGCTCCTTTTCTTCACTAGGCCTAAAACTCTTCACAAAGGCCAGTCAGTTTTACTCTTGTTGTATAAGGGGGGGAAGCTGAGTCACAGTGTGATTATCCATCCTACCCTGGTCTTCCACACATTGTGTTAACCAGAAAGATCGGTGCCAGAGGACACAAAAAAGAGTCACACCTTCTTAGGAAAAGTCACTTAAAGAGGCTTCAATTCAGAGGGATGAAATTCAAAGAGATATTTGGGTGAGAGAGAAAAAGAACTTAGAAGGACAAAATGTTTAAGAGATCTGAGGAACTTTGTCTTGGAATTATCTTTCCTTGTAATAGAGGTTTGCGCGCCAAGGAGTGGGCAAGGCTGATGAAGGAAGCCATCTAGCTGTCTCATTTAGGCCAACAGCTATCTCTGGATTATGATAAGGGACTGGCAAGCGTTAGGAGTTAAGATAGTAGAAAGCAGTGCATACGCTGAGCATACTGCACCTCCAGAGCTGTTCAGCAGCTACACATAAGAATCAGTCACAGAGAGAAAATACTGGGTCTTACCTAAGGACCCATCCTTTGCTGTGCATGGATATAAGAGATACACAGTATGATCCTTTTCCTGATCCCTTTTTTCAGGAATCATCAATTTTGGAGAATCCAGCAGTAGCAATTACACCTGGCCCCTTAAGTTTAATAGCTACAGATGGACCTGTCTTCTCTAAATTTGTCTAATCCTTATTTATGTCCTCAGTCTTCAAAGCATGCTGTGGTCACCAGTTTTACAATCTGATTGTGTTCACCAGCTTTACAATTTGATTGTGTGCATTTTGGAATACTCATGGTAGGCACTTATCTAAGAGAGACACTTTGAATCACCATAATCTAATCTTGTTGCCAGCCATCTTTCTGTCTCAGCTGATGTGATGATTGAGTCATCAGAGAAATGAACCCAGACTCTTTGGCACGCAAGAACATTTCCCGTCATTTGATGTAAGGGATGACTTTCTGAGCTGGGAGATACAGTAAGCCCCATGTTGCCATTAGAGGGGGCTGAATTCATATAAGCAGCCAAAGGGAAGCACTGGTGCGTAGCAAGATGACTCCATGGCCATGTCTACAAGAAAGAAAAGGATGCACAGACATGAAAGGCTTTGGGAGGATTCTCACTTTTGGAGTCAGAAAGCACAGACAGAAGCCTAATGGAGAGAGTAGACACCAGTTCTGAGAAGCTGCTGCAGTGGAGCAAACATATTTCTTGGGACTTTTATAGCCTTGGGTAGAGATGCAGGAACAGAAGGAAACGCAACTGAGAACACAAATCTTCACTTGGGACTGGAAAGACTCAGACAGGTGGAAATATAGGCTTTGTCAAGGTCATAAATCCTTACAATAATTACAGCAATAATCTGTCATCTGCAGGAGTCCTTTCCTATGCTCACAGTCTGATCCTGCTGGTAGAAATGTAGCCCCAAGACACTTTGTGGTTCCACAGGATTCCTGTCTTTTGAAAGATGTTAGATGACAGACCTCTGCATGCCAGAAGCACCTCAATGACTGCAAACATTGCCTGAACTCCCATTAAGCAGTAAGGGAGAAAGAGGAATGAAAGAAAACTGTGTGAGCTCAACTAGCTGAGTTTTCAGTATAGACCATAACATAACTGTCTATTTGCTCTCAAGTGTCTTTTAGGTTAAGCAGTAAAATCTGAATGTAGAAAATATTTGCACAATCAGGATTTTGTGAATCCAGACTCATTTTAAATCATCAGTTTTCCCCATAAACATCGTGTAATGAAGGGAGCCTAAAAGGAACACTGCTCCATTGATTCCTATCAAGCCATGGTGAGTGATGAACAGTCATTACACATAATTTATCCAAAAGAAATCTGCATTTGAAAAAAAAAAAAATACAAATTTTGTACTTAAATGGATTGCTTTGTAGCAACATTTACATCATTGGTACATAGATATTATCAGAACTCAGTCCTGGGACTTCACATAGGGGCAATGCATTTGGCACAGAAAAACTATTTAAAAAAAAAATAATCTGTAACTGAAATAACATAAAATCTAAATCTTCTCGCAACTGAATTTCATTTACCGCACTCCAATTATATTTGGAAAGGTGACTGCACTATTTATTTTTAACACTAATAATTCCTGCAAATTAATTAACATGAAAGCTCTCCTTTGTTATTCTAGACAATGAAGCCCCAAACCAGTGCCATCCTAAAATTAGGCTGCTGCAGCTTTTAACAGGGGCTCCCATTCATCTGCTAATGTGATGCAATTTAGCTTTAGTTGCCATAAATATTAACAGCAAGGGCTTTTTGTTCTTTTACTCCCTCTTGCTGCAGCCTGTTGCAAAGACTAAGGTTTAAAGTAATCTCAAAAAGTGCAAGACTTTGTTTCTGTATAATTTAAAGATACATTTTGCTTTGCTAAATCCTCAAGCAGAAATTTCAGGTGGTAAATTATCTGGCAAGAGCTGGGTGGCAAGCAAAACCAGTCAGTGTCATTGCCTCTCTGTCCAGGAAGATACACGGCACCCATACCCAGTGCTAGGTTCCCTTAAGACAGTGGTTTTACTCAAATATCTATTGATGTTTATTACCCAGTAGCTCTCTTTGGAGACAATAAGAGTTGTTTGGATCTCTGGAAAGTCTCTCATGTTGGCTCTGCTGATTCATTTCCACTCCAGGATCCAAAAGGATCACTCCCTCCCACACAGTCAGCAAAACCCATGCTGCAGACTCACTTTTTGCTCTTTGCGTCCAGACCTCCTTCCTGAACTTCCAGCTGCAGAGACTTCCTGAGCCAGATTTGCACAATGATTTCAGTGATAGACCAAGAGTGAATATGTCATTGGAGGAAGGAGCATGTGATTTGCTCCAAAACAAGCTTCTATAACCCATCAGGTGTTGAAGCAATACTCACGTGCCTGCTCATCTACTATATTCACACTGAAGCTGAATTCAGCCCTCTCAGAAACTACCCTGCTTCTATGTACTGAGATTTAATCCCACTTGTGAAATCTCCTCTAGTAACAAGTGCTCCCTTTTGCTGGCCTTGCATTTCAGTCATTCAGTGATCATCTCTCCTTGTGATTTGGAGACATCAACCCATTCCCATGTCATGCTTGTGAGTGCTGTTCCAGTGTCAGGTATTACAACGAGATTTATGAGCCAAAACCACATCTCTGATGACAGGCCACAGAAGACAGTTGATAAGGAAATCCGCTCAAAATTCCCAGCAGGCGTGCTCTCCTGATAAGTTTATGCAGCCTAAGAAATCTCGAATGTTCCCTGTGGGGTTTCATAATTCAGTCGAGTGTAAAGTAGAATTGCAAGGACCACACTTATACAAGGGCTATGC